TGGGGAGCGGCCGTGCATGTGAGTGTGAAGTCGAGGGGAAGTGAGCTCACTGGTGGGCTGGACTGGCCCTCTTGGGGCCGAATCGCTGCCCGCTAATTAACCACAGAGTGGTCCCTTCCCAACACTGCCCAGCAGGGAGTCTGCTCACCACAGCCACCGAGCTAACAGAGCCGGCGGTCACTCCACGCCGCTCTGCAGAGCGTCTGTGTCTGTCAGCGTTATTGATCCTGTCAATAATCTGAAATGGACCTGGCGAAGTGTCACAGGCATCTCGCTTTTACACCGCGGGTGACATCAGTTGTTTTCTTTGAGCGCTGACCTCCGCGCTCCGGCTGCGGCGCTGAGACCTTGTTGCCCATGTTGCCATGACAGTGTGTACCTTGTGTTGTGTAATGTGTTCCAGATGGATAGGTAAAGCCAAACATACTGCATTACACCAGCATCTGGTAGAATAATCCTCTACCACCTCCAAAATGCTTTCCTTGGATGCAGAAAGGAAGTGATGATCACGATTTACAACAAGCCGCTTTGATTTCAGGAAACTCAGACCACCACCTTGTCTTGGCTGGCTGGGACTCCTAAACTGGCGAGATGGGAGTCTGTGGATTGAAGCTAATAGGATGAAGAACAGCCAAGCCCACCCACACCTGACGATCCCGGCTAATATCCAGTAAAAAACAAGCAGGCATTAAGTGAGCAGGGATTTGCTTGTTTGACTTTATTCGCTCATGAAAAAGTCGAGTCGACTATTTAACCGCTCAGCACACAGTTAGAGATGTTCTCGCTCCAGATTCAGGAGGGAATCATCAGGCTGACCGGCGGATAGTTTGAGTGCATAGATCTACGGTCAGTCCTGGACCAGATGAATCGTCTTCTCGTATATTATTCTGCCGTTACATAAACGAGTCCAGCGCTGCAGCTGTGCAGGTTCTGCACACAAAGGGAACTTAAGCAGAGGTTTTCATGTGTTTGGTTTTTATCTGCTGGGGCTTCAAAGGTGATTTATGATGTTTATTGTTGCAGGGGATGATAGCAGCTTAGATAGATTGATAAATAGATCGAAAGATGGATGGGCATGTGCTTCCAGATTGGGAGTTTATTGTTACAGCAGCTGGTTATCCTGGCATCACGAAGGGAAAAGAAACACACAGTCAATCTGCGTCAACACCAGAAGAGAGAAACGCAAACATAAGAGCTGATATTAATAGAGTAGAGTAGGAATACCAGCCTCTCACATAAACAACAAGACTAACAATAAGATTTCAGTTTTTTTTCATGAGGACATAATTAAACACCTGTACAGAGTAAGAGCAGGATGAGCTCGCCTGTTCAGACAAATAAAAGTCCAAATTTTAATAATAACTTTATTTCTATAGTGATACTCATACTTATAAAGCACTTTTCAAAACAGAGTTACAAAGTGCTTCACGGCATAAAAACAGAATAGAAATAGACGATGAACGTACAGCAGCAGCAGACGTCAGTACAATTCCCAACACAGTCAGTCAGTAAGGATAAAAGATGAAACTCCAACTGTGTTAAAAGTTTTTTTCAATCAGTTCAGAATAATTATGTGAGTTAAAACAATATAATTTAAGTTAAGACTTAATAAAAAGTTAAAACTTATACAAATGTGTTTTTAATGAGTTTTAAAAGGAGAAGAAACTCTTACTAGTCTGATCTCCTCAGTCAGTTTGTTCCAGAGTTGGGGCCCTGACAGGAAAAGCCAGGTCCTCCTCAGTCCTCAGCCTGGACTGAGGACCTAAGGGTACAACCAGGCTTATAATGAGTGAGGAGGTCAGTGATGTACTTTGGAGCAGGTCCAGACAAACTTTAAAAGTTCTCATTAAGATCTTCAAATCAACTCTAAAATGAACTGGGAGACAGTGGAGGGAGGATAAACTAGGGCTCATATACTCTCTCTCTCTCTCTCTCTCTGCACTCTCTTTTCGTTTGTTTTGGTGAGGAGTCTTGCTGACGAGTTCTGGACTAGCTGTAGATTATTTCAGCTCTGCTGTGATGGACAGGAATACAGGGGGAGAGGAGGTGAAGGCATGTACGACTGTTTTAAGTCGTTTTCTGGGAAGTGACTGATCTGATTTTGTCTTCTCAGCTGATAAAAACAGGATTAAACCAACAAATTGACGAACTTCTTCAGACAGAAAATCTCTAAACGTGGTGACAGGATCTGTAAAAATCTCAAGTTCATTTATTAAATGTGATTTCGTCACATCCAAACGGTCCCACAGTCACCGGTTTTCGGTAAAACACCTGACTCAGTCTTAATCACCAGGAACTCAACAGTCAGCGCAACAACAATTTAATTAGACTCTTTTTTTGCATTATTAGAAATTAACTTCATACTCTTCATGTTGACCTGAATTATAAAGGTAGTTTTCCTGTGAAAAGTCCAAACTGTCATCACCTTTCTGTCAGTCTGAAGTCATAAATCAAACCCTGAAACACAGAACTATACTCACCCTGAAAACCTAAATCGGTCTTTAACTGGATCATGTCAGTCCAATGAGTCCCTGAATGCTCTCTCGGTTAGGTAACTTGATGCGCTGTCAGAGATGTACAGTCCTGACATATTCATATTGATTCATTTTTAATAAAGACAAGCTAAACAGACCTGAAAAGTAAGAATCCCTTCGGCGCTCCCTCTGAGCTGTAAAACACAATCATTACGCGATCTATCTGTTGCAACACATCTTGAGAAATAAGCAACACTGAGAGCCGTATGACAAGCATTTGACGGGAAGCGCATTACAGCTTTGCATCATGGGATGTGTCATCAGTTTAGCAGTTGGCATGGCCCTCTGTTGATGTAATATGGCAGTCATTATCTTCCAGACTCGCTGCCAAAGGAGGAATACCCTCTCAAATGTCAAGTCAGATCAGCCCGGTGGAAAACCGCAGCGACTACATGAGCCAATTTGTCACATTTGTAGCGCGTGGCACCGAACCAGCTCCCCTCACACTTCTATCTGCTTTCACCGGGCCTCATGGGCTCAGAGACCAGGAGGACTGACCCGATTGGATGACACTCATTTTTCAGATATTGCATCTTCTTTTCAATGTCAGAGTCAATTTTGGGAAGAGAGGAGCAAAGACTCTTGGACTGCCAAGTGAAATAAATGTGCAGAATTTGTCTTAGTGCTGTTAGTGCATAAACAGACAATATTCACAGTTTAGTCGAACATACTGACAGATAGGATGCCTCATGGGGCGTTCACACCAAGCGTGATTAAAATCTTTTGCACGAATGAATTACATGTTGAATCAATGCAAAGACGCAATTAGATGCTCATACTACACTGGTGGTGCGAAATTAGGCGGCATGAGTTGGGCGAATTTGTGAGAATTGGAAGTATCTTAAGTTGGAGTTGGATATTCATGTCGCGATAACCAGGAGACGTATGAAAACAGACCTGAAGATTCTCCCTGGTGTGAAAATAGAAACACAAATCCTTTGACTCACAGTAGACAGATGGACAGGTGCTCTGCAGCTGGGATAAAGCGCCTGTAATTGATCTGGAGGGTTATCCTGGCACCGACCCTCACCATCAGGTCGTCAAACTAGGTTCGGGTAACCTGAAAATACCGCTTAAAACAGTCGTCATCATGGCGCAGCTTTTGGAGGAGACTCAAACATGGCGACGCCTAAATCTCCGACAGTTGTGGGCCTTCCACAACGAAAGCAAATGGACTAAACGACCAAACAAATGGACTAAATGATTTTCATGAATAGAGTAAATCATTCACACGAATGATGCGAGTAAATACTTTTCATGCACGTGTCTAGATACATGTGAATGAAGTGAGTAGTTGATTTCATTCGTCCATCATAATGCTCTTTACTGTCTCAGGACTCAGGTGCTGCACACATGTTGCAGTATTGATTTCTCAAAAAAAAACATTACCATTAATAGGATAAACAAAGTCCTTTTCCCTTCTATCATTTCCAAGTTCTCTCGTTAGCCTCATTAGCTTAATACATAAACAAGCCCAGCCTGCTACCACAACAAACAGTCTCCTTCTCTCAGAAACATGATGGTTCATTCACCAGCTGTGAGCTTCTGTAACCTCATGTTTACTAATCTTCTTTTTTTCATGGTGGCTCTGTCCCTTATTTACGAGTATTGTTGTTTTTGCCACGCTGCACTGAGCGGGTCTGTTACTGCACGTCTGGAGGTGCGTGGCGGCTCTGAAAGTATCCGGAACATACCTTTCTGTTGCGATTGGCCTGATATTAAACCACCGAGGCTGCAAACACAAAAATGGACCGCGTATGAATTAATGCAAAGTGTAACCATATGAAGCCGACGGCAGGACTATGAAAGGAAGAGAAAATAGACAATGACTGCGAGCTCGGTTTTAATTAGAAGCAGCGGCCTTGCTGGAAACACCACAATAAACTGATGAGATTGATTTTGTCTTCATCTGCACGCTCTCATCCTTAAGTAGACACTAATATGTGTGCAGATGTACATGCACAGGCTTGTATGTGCATGCACGGGGCTCTTGAGGATTTACTTTTCCTGGCATGACAACCACCCTAATACTTTTATTCACTGTAATGAAAAAAGAACTTGTAGTTGGGCTTTTTCTGCCAATAGCTGTTGCAATACTTGTCTCATGCAGAGTGAAAATTTTGAGGTTGGGAATATGAATCCACAGTGTTACAGAGATACTCTGAGTCTGCAAGCCAGAAAGCTTTCTGCGAGAACACCTCTGTGTTTCTGCTCAGATTTAATTCAATGAACAGCTTTAAGTGTTAATGCATGTTCTGTGGAAAAGTGTAAGAAAGCTGGAACATTTGGAGGACAGAGCGCCAAACTGCTCCAGTTTAATGAAGTTAGACTTCAGTGCTGTGAGAGAAGCCGTGCTCTGTTGCAGGCAGTTGTACCAAATGTGCTGTAATTCCTCTCCTAACATACATATCTAAATCATCTAAATTGCGGAAAATGTTCCTGACCGAGATAAGGGAACGTCGGAGTATGGGAATGTGGGGCAGTGGTTTAGGTAAGGCCTGTTTCTGAGAGAGAGCCCAGCTTTGATTTGCTGTCAGAAAATAATAAACCAAACCATTCCTGCTAAGGACTCCCTCTTCTTCTGCAGGTTTGTTCATACAGCTTAGCTTTCAGTCTGCTTTCAATAATGTTCCTCAGCAGCTGGCAGGCTACAACACACACCTGGATAAACACACTCCGCTCGAGCTCTTGTCCTGTTCGCTCTCGCCGCTGAAGACCATTGGCTGCTGCGGGGGCCTTCGCTGTCAGGCTCCGACCGCAGATCAATCTCACTTCAGCGGCACTGTCCATCTCCACAGCAGAGGGACGCTGCGGCCAAAGGCCCACCCAAAATCCCCGCAAATCCTCCCCCTGCAGAGCAAGCGGGACTCGCAGCAGCGCGCATTACCTCAGGAGGCTGACGCGAGCCGGCCCCTCTCTCGTCCTGTGCGATCGTATCAGCTCGGGTGATGTCAGCTAACAGCTCTCGGCCACTCTCACTCTCTATGTCAGTCCTGCCAGCAGATTAATCCAAGGCTCCCCCGCCACACACTCATCACTTTCCTAACAAGAGCGGGATATAGGCTATTAATGTCACACCTGAGTGAAATTTACATTGTGTAAGCTGCCCTCACCCACTCCGACACCACTCTTTGGTTGGGCTGAAAAAAGCCTGCTCCTGCGCTGACCTCCCCTCTATTCCAGCATGGGCCTCCAGATGCTGGTGACTTAACCCCTCGCCTGTAAAACAAGAGTAAGAAAAACACCCTGGTTATGATGACTGTATTGGTGGCCTCGTTCTCTCGGGGAGTAAGAGTTTGGCACCGACTCGCTCTGAGTATTAGTGGTCGCTGTAAAGCTTTTTTGAGACCCATTTAGTCTGGTATCAGACCAGAGCGCCTCTGCTGACCCTTCCCACTCCGTCCTGCTCCCCCCCTGCTGTCTCCCCTCAGAGCGGAGACACTATGTTAGAGGTTTGTGGATCTCACCGTTACTTATTTATGAGTGTTTAAATGCCACAGCACCCTGGCAGGGACTTTAATGGAGGTGAGACACTCCCATGCCGCTCGACTCCCCTCAGTAAAGTTTTACAGCGTCCCACCACACTCTCCAGAGAGGCCAGGGGAAAGTGACGCCATGTTGGAGGAAAAAATACTCTGTACTGGTGCCAAGCCGAGGGCTGAGAGGTATCCTGAAGCTGTGCGGTTTGTGTTATGACTTTTTTATTTTAAAGAGAAGTGGCAAAAGTGCACTCAGTCTTTACTTAAGAGGAATAACATACACTTCTAAAAGGAGATTCTGGTAACGCAGAGGTGATTCAGCCTTCAGCCTTCAGCCAGGCCCACACTACAAGACTTTCAAATTCCTAACAGATGCTAAAGATGTGAGAGACCCCACACGTGACGAAGAGTAACGGCAGATTTAACAGTTTTTGTTCTCGTAGTGTGGAGAGCAGTGAGATCACACACACACACACACACACACACACAGTACAACACACACTGATTCATTCATGAAGAATCAGAGGCCGGACTCTCTGAGCTGGAAACGATTGTGAGTCCTGGATTTATCGATGTTCAGTCACCGCTGCGGAGTTTAAGTTTCTATCAGTCGCTTAAAGAAAACTTGTCTCACAGTTAATGTTTGTAGTCACGGAGCTCAGGGTGGATTTATTATCGCTCCAAACATCGATAAGAGATGCCAAAACATGCGGCGTTTGCATCTGTTGTCATGGCAACCCAGCTGACACCTGGGCTGCTGCATCTCTTCGATGAAAACAGATGATTTTGTGCGTTGATAGTTTTGTTCGTGTTATCCTTCTGATGACTTATCCCAGACTATCTTGTCTATTCTGCGTATTCCATTTATCTAGTGCACAAAAGCTTAAGTTTTTAAATATTTTTATTGTATCTCTTTATTATTTATTAATTTGGGAATATGGGGAGATGGGGGGGCATGCAGCACAAGGTTGGGGCCGGACTCGAACCCACAACCGCTGCAGGAATGATGATCCCTGTACATGGGGTGTGCTAACCTGCTCGGCCATCTGTGCGCCACTGATGTATCTCTTTATTTTGAAGTGACTTTATTACTATGACTTTTCTTCTTCATGTGATATAAATATTTTTATAATTTGCATCGACTTTAATGCACCATGCAGTTCATACTGTACGCTTTGCAAATCAGGAAACATAACCCATATTTTGAAGACTTGAATTCTGGATCCACGTTATAAATACGCCGTCAGCTGCCTCTTTCCAAACAATGGTCTGAATGGTGCCCTCCTGCGCATAAATCGGTCCACATCAATTCCAGCTAAGTGGTAAGAAATGAAGCTGGTGCAGAAGTGCCAAAAACTGCAGTTCCCCGAGTGTCCACTTGAGGCTGACTGCAGAGGCATCAGGAGCCACATACACACTAAGCCAAAAAAGATGTTATTAAAGGAACTGAGGTTATGAGATTGGCAAATTACAGACAGGTGGGCATGCTGTTGCTGTTGCTGATTGCGTGAAGGCTGAGGAAATTATGAGTGCGGTGACAATAACACACTTTTAAACATTCAGATCTATCTTCATTCGTTTGAGGAGCATAAATGAGCCTTTAGGCCAAAATCTGTATTGATATCTACGAGTGAAATGGAAAAAACACTCTCCAAAAACAGTTAACAGTCTACTTTTGAAATGCAGGTAATACAAAGCTCAGATCATTCATTCACAAGATTTCAGGGCTTTGTAAAGAAGGTAAAAAAGATTAAATTAAATTTATCCTCTAGCCTTTGCTTCTAAACACCTTCAAAAATTAATTAATTGAAGTCACATTTAATATCTTTATTGCAGCATAAAACCTGTCACGTAGCGTCACTCTCTGTACTCATGCTAATCAGCCCACAAGTCGCTCGTATCTGTCAGGCTTCAGCACCACTGCGGCTAATGGATCCCCGCTTTATCACATCGATTCCCCCTGTAAAAGCCAGCCCCCCTGTCAACCCACCCACCTTTCCCTCTTCCCTCATATGGCCGTGATGAGATCCAGACTCGCAGTGGAAGCATATTAAAGTGGCCCAACGGTGTCAGCAGGAGAGCTAAATGGAAGGTAGTGAAATCTTTTGAACCTCGCTTACATTATAACAGTTCTAAACACATCCAGCTGGGTCCAAAGTTCAGGGAAGACATAAAAGCGGCGTAGCATGTTACCTTGGAGGATGATAATAGCCGGGCACTACTAAAACTACTAAGACAGTCCACAATCAAAGGGCCGAGAGGAAGGACTCCCCGCACTTCTTACTGGCTTCTAATGGTCTGTGTGTGTCGGAGACGAGCGCTCTGACGGTCGTTATATCTGCTTTAACACACGCACGCCGTGGGACGTAAAGACAGGGGACTTTCTCAGCATTAGTGATTAAACTCCATTAACTTTGGGTTAATTAAAATACAAAAGACTTAGAGTGGCAGTAATTACCCCGCGCCAGCCTGGTAGGTCATCCTTAAAGCAAGTTTCAGCACTGATCTTGATGGGAGGTTTCTCGTATCGTGACTTTGTTGCTGCCAGACGAGTTTTACAGGGTTTGAACTGCTGACTCTGACAATATCACTGATTCTGTCTTTATTACAGAGGAGATGAGCGGGGCAGACTCGGCACAGAGAACCCAGACAGTGTACAAGTATATATATATGTGTGTGTGTATGTGAGTGTGTGTGTGTGTGTGTTCCTCATGTGTTGGCTGTGGGCTCCTCTGCGGCGTCTTAACCACACACGATAAATATGAGCTTGTGGCGAGGCCGCCGTGCCCCAGGAATGCTCACATGTGGTGGAGCGGCTCTCACCACCATTGACAAGAGAGTTAGACGGCTTTTGGTCATCGAGATTCCTGGTGAAGAGAGCGACATAGGAGGCCGATCGACTTTAAGACTCGAGCCGCGGTTGGCAGTTTCCTCTCTGCCTCGAGTCTCTCACTAAAGCGTGTTATTTGTTTACTCCGACAAACCAATCAGGCTATTGTTTACCGGCAGGCTGATCTCGGTCACGACCAAAAATGTATTTAATCACCAGTTGCGAGCATCAGAAACAAACACGGAAAGACACGGCAGACTGCAATTTTTCCATATTCAAATACAACTCTATGAATGTCTTTGCACATTTATTTTTACTTCTAAGAAAAGATCTCGCAGCCTCCACGAGCCAGATGTAACTCTGGCGGGTTTGTATTTTAGGACCGCTCACAGAACGCCAAACACAACACGCACCAGTCAGGAAGCATTCGCCGACGATGCATTCATCAATAAGACGGATAAACCCCGAACCTGCTGGATTAACCACGCCTGACGCCCGCCAGCTCTCTGCACACACTCCTCCTGAAGTTTTTCCTTTTTCTGGTTCTTGACCTGTCAGACCTTAACACGTCTAAACCTGCGTGATCCTCCTCTCCAAACCGAAGACTAATCGTGTATAAAGAGTGTAAAATGACGCACAGCGGAAACTATCCGTCCTGATTGATGCGGCAGTGATTGCTCGTCTGTTATTTTGATATCGATATCCTCAAAACTGGAGCCAAAGAAATTTGTTAGTTTCGGTTTTTGTGCCAAACATTTATATAAATCTCTTTCTCTCTGTAGGCGGACGTTCTCGGTTTAATGCCCGGTCCCAAAATAGCTTTTTGAAACATTAAACACACCAGCAGGAATTCGACAACAGAAACAACAAAAGAAACAATTAGAAAAGTGATTTGATTCACTCTGTTATGATGTGGTCCAGCTATTAAATTTCTTTTCCACCAATGAGGCGTAAATTTGAAATGATTAGGTTGTGGAAATGTTTATTTAATATGCCATTAATGTGGTTAATTAAGTTTTCTTTGGAGTAAGTTGAGCAATTCTTCACGGCCTGCTTTATAGCTTTATTAACGGAGCTTCAGAACAATATATCAGTGGAAAAAAAGCACACTGCTCCGTGAGCGGAGTCGACATATTTCATTTCCTCAAGAAATCAAAGACAGATCTTGAAATCAAGGACAATTATGGTACAAATATCTGCAGATTTATCGTTCGTGTTCGTCTTACAGACCGCAGTGCCCAGCTTGTAACTCCCTGAATTGTAGGGATCAGAGCAAATCTCTGTGCAGCTCTTTTCTGCTCAGTATCTACATGTTCAGGGGTTTTTAACCTCATATCCTCGCAGCATAGTCTTCCTCTAACATTTGGCTGTGTTTACCCTGTCTGCTTTAAGGTTGTTTCAAGCTGCAGAACGTCTTATGCAACATAAACTGCTTTCTGCTCCATCGTCATCTTTAGCTTAAAAAAAATCGGCCTCACTTTGGACCTTTTTGCATCCTCGGCATCACTGCAACCCTCTGACCTCCAGAAGTTTTCTTCATGTAGTTTAATAATCATGTTAATAGTTACATGACGGGACTGAAATCAAAATAAAATGTCTCTTTATGGGACCGGTGAGACTCAATAGCAGACTTGAGAAGATCAAACTTCATTGATTACCAGGTTTTGGAAAATGCAGGACCAGGTTTTTTATGGAACCAGATCCCAATCCCCATCCCTAACCAAAAGTAAATCACATTTTTGTTATTGTTTAATGAAGAAACCCAAAATTATGAGATCTCAATGTTTCATTTTCTCCTGGTTGGTTGGACTCCAATAAGCCGCTTACAAGACCTTAAATACACTAATGAGGCTTATTAACATTAACAAGTGTTAATAAAGCAAAAATAACACATTTATAATTTCTTATTAGACACTTAGAGTCTCTCAGAAATTTGTTAGACAGCTTTTTAAATGTAATCAAATGTTTATTTATGTTAATATGACTGTATAAACATTTATTAAATTCTTAATGAACTGTAACACTCAGCATAAACAATGTAAAGACCGCTCATTAACTTTAATTAGATGTTATACAGCATCAATAAAGCTCTAACAGGAGTTTATAACATACCGGCTCTAAAGTGTGAGTTAACGTTTATCAGAAGGATTTTCATATAAAGTGTTGTTGTTTCTTTATTCTCTTGTTTGTGGTCTTTGTGTCTGCTCCCTTCACGGAGCCCTTCAGGCCTGTTTTAGGGTGTTTGTGTTATTTTTTGCGTGTCACAATAATCAAATCGACCCACGAAACAAAGTCTGTAAATCATGGGACTTGAAATGTTCTCTCGCTCCTCACATCCGTCATCGGAGACCACTCTGTTGTCTCCCATAACTTCATGGCTGACAAGGGTCATTCGCCTGAGGCCCCGGCGGAGACTCTATCCCCTCTCTGGACAGATGCAGTGGCATAAGGGGGCCCGGATGCCCCCCTCTCCTCTGACTGACCTCTCCCTCTCCTCCAGACTCTGAGAAAGGCTCCAGAGGTTGAGGAGGTCCTGGGGACTGGACACATTGCGGCATTAATTACACACTCAGTTACCATTGAGCCTAATGTTTGGCCTCCCCTCTCGGGGTTAACTCCTTCCTGACAAGCGGGGAAAGTAATGGGGCCTCTGTGGCTCGTTTGCTCGCAGTCAGCCAAGACAGCTCGTCTTCTGCATCCTCGTTCTCGCTGACTGACAGCAGCTAAACGCTTCAGTCCCGCCTCGCTCTGCGCCGGGATCACACACACACACAGGGAGGAGGAGGAGGAGACGCAGGAGATAATGGGAGGTGTGGGGCAGTGGGCGACAGGCGGGACACTTCATCTCATCAAAGGCTCCTTTGCTGGTTGCCGTGTGCAAACAAAGAGGCTTTTTTGGGACGTTATCTATCAGAGGCTTCTCCTGCTGACATCCTCGCTGTGATTGGCTGAGGAGACAGAGGAAGAAGAAAGAGCGTGCACAGACAGGATACCCCCCTGAACAGCAAAGTAAACAGAGTAGAAAGAGAGAGGAAGCCTACCTCTGTCCTGCAGACTGGAGGTGAGATGATCGCAGACGCCCTGTGATGTTTGAAATATGAGTTTCTGGACATTTGCAGGACTGGCCTTCCTCTGCAGAGAGCTGCCGGCTGCAGCTTTAATCACAAGTGTCTCTGCCTATTCCTGGAGTAATCCCATTTCTGTTGACAGGGGCTGTAGTCTGTAATCTGATAGCAGAGCACTTACAATATCAAGGCCTGTGTTTCGTTTGATTAATTCATAGCCTACAGGGTCTGTGAGATAGAGGCAGAGCGCAGCATGAGATCACGACCCTGGAATTCTAAACAATAACCATCTGTGGCGAACCGTGTTGAGCTCCATGCAACTCTCACTTTTCCTCTCTCACTTCCTATTCCTCTTCTTCCCTTTCTCTCTCTCTCTCTCTCTCTCTCTCTCTCTCTTTTGCAAGATAACACACCCACACACGGAACACACACACGCACCTGCAACAGCCGTTTTGCATGTACAAACTACCAGCAAAGTACCCATTATATGTCACGACATGCACACGGTTGAAAACAGCACACTTTCTGTCCTGAGGCACATAACACCTGAGCTAAAGCAGAGCCTCTGTGAAGCTCCGTCTCTCTCCGACATGCAAACACCAAACTGGTCTTGGTTCATTCTCCTTTTCTGATCATCACACAGTTTAACAGTTACTTAAATATAATCAGCTTGGCAGTTGTTCTTAACCCCACAAACTGTCAGCGTTAACAGGAAAGAAAAATACTCCCCCGGTCCAAGCTGGATTTAATGAATGAGTCTATGAGTCCAACATGCTGGAAAAACAAAAAAAAAAGAAAAAACGCTCCGACATGCCTGAATCTGACATTTCAAAAGAGGGATGGTCTGAGTTATACAAATTTCTTTTCTTAGCTCCTCAAAAGAAAAAAGCGAACATCTCTGTAAATGTCAGAGCCCGTCCAGCATCTCCTCGGTTGTTGAGAAAAAGTGACGTGATTTGTTCTCTTTCAGCTGGTCGCCACAGGGCTGAGAATGATAAATGAAGTGTTACTTTGCGGACTATTTTTAACTTTTCCAAACCAACGTTCAGACGCTCCATCTGGACGGGGTTAGGGACAAGCTCTCTGCCATTAGTTACAGTAACAGACACATGGCTCTGCACGGCGGTCAGAAAACAAACATTATACTTGTCGATGTGATTTGGCGTGATGAATGCGGGCTGGTTTGCGAAAGAGGTGATGGGTGATTGTTTAATATTCTTGGACTAAGTTGTGTTAAATGTCGGGAGCGGATTAAAAAAGCTTTAAACAGCCTGTACTGTTCATAAAACCTTCAGAGGCGGATTGTTTTGTTTATTAGCAGGGCAAAAGGAAGATTTCGACACTACACATAAAGTTTCAAATCATCAGATATATTCATGTGCAATTCAAAATAGTGTGAGGTCAATATGTGAAGCCATTTAACTTCAAAAAATATTGTTTTATGTAAGAAAAAGCACCTTTTATATTTGCCAACAACATTTTGCACAACAGTTGGAACAGAGACAAAGAGACACTGACAAAGTTGTGTAATGTTGAAGAAACGCCTGAAGGGACAACCCTCAGCTAATGAGGTTAACTTGCAACAGGTAACATGACAGGTAAGAAACGTGACTGGATAAAAAAAAAACTAGAAAAGCACTCGGAGAGCGCAGACCTCCGCCAAGCAGCTCATGTCCCCCCTTATATTGTGATTGACAAGCGTTAGCAACAATGCTAGGATAATGTTCCTGAGTGTAAAATATCAAAGAATTAGTGGATTCTTTCATCTTTAGTTCATAATATCATAAAAAGATAGAGGAGAGTATCGGAAATCTCTGTAAAAAAGGGACAAGGCTGAAAACAAGCATGACTCTGTAGTGGAACTCATGGCATTAACTCAGAATCTCCAGTAAAAAACTGTTTATTGGTGCATCTTCAAATGCAGGTTGAAACTAAACCACGCAAAAAGGGAAACCATATAAATGTGAACCAAAACTTAAGATGGTCTGAGTCGAAGTGGAAAACTGTCCTGTGGTTCGGAAAGTCAAAATTGGATGTTCTTTGTGGAAATCGTGGATAGAAAGGGGGGACCACCAAGGTTGTTATCAGCTGTGGCAAACCACAGGAAATGAGCCATTCAGTCCAGGACCAGTTGAGGTGATAGAGAAAGTTTTCCTCCCAGTTCAGCCACTGAGGACATGGTACTAAACACGCCTGCAGCCTCATGCTGCGTTCGATTTACCTCGGAAGTCAGAAGTTGGAGCTGAACATGACGTAACACCCGAGTTACCAGTGTTTCAGTTACCAAGTCGAAAAAAAGCAAAATCTGAGGCCTGAAAAAAGTTGGCTACTTCTGCAAAAGTTATTTTAGCACTTATATTCAGACAAGGCAAGCACTAAAATTTCATAGATGTAGCCATCTTGTTTCCACCTCAGATTTTGCTTTTTTTTTTCGACTGGGTAACTGAAACGCTGGTAACTCGTACTTCTGACTACCATAAAGACTCATTTCACCATCTTCCTCTCACCTACAGCATCACTAAACTGAAGACCCTGGACAGGACTCTAGTAGACTAGTTTAGAGATGTTTCAAGTCTCCAAGTTAACCATCAGAAATCAGCCAGAGGATAGGATTTATTGAACAAGGCTCAGCAGCGGATCACAGAGTCACATCGCTTTGTCGAGGAGTAGCTAACATTAGCAGAGCTAGCACCACCAGCCTTTGGTCCTGCAGGTTGACACCCATGAACCCGAACTGGTCATTGTTTAAACACAGCTGCCTTTTGTTGCAGTAAAAAAACCTTAAAGCCACATACCTGATGGTTTATAAGAAGTACACATGAACTCACACACATTCGAACCCATGAATGTTTCGTGTTTACTCGCCTGATTTGAGCGAATGACTCACTCCATTCCTGTCCCATATGGTGTCTATGGGAGAGCCCAAATACATGAACTCGCAGAAGAGAGGAGGGGTGTCCTTCGCACCCTTTCAGTCTGTTTTCATCTCAGGTCGACTGCATACTGAGGATAACCATTTGTGTTTCACATTGATGTTACATGTAGTGCATTTGGTGTGAACATGTTATAAATCCTGCCGTCAGTGTGTGCAGAAACAGACCTTTTCACATTATGAGATTATGAGACTCTCTATAAATACCCTTGAGTATGTTTAAGTGCTTTGTTTCTTTAAGTCTGAGAAATTCGCTCTCTCAGCACATTTCAGGGGAATTAAAGGGAGTCGCTGTTGGTGCATGTTTCTGATTAAGTCCTTTTAATGTTTTTACTTCCTCATCTTGATCTTCCCCACAAAGACTCAAACATTTGTATGTTATTTTAAACCAAACTTAGTGTATTAAAGATTAAAGTATTGATTGAGACAGTCTTTATCATACAAAGGTAACAACTATTAGCAATTAAAAGCATCATACATACGTCAACATGCAGTTTGCAATATATTTCAGGAGATAGTGTTCAAATTTTCTTCTGGTCAGGACTAAATCTCAGCACCTAAAACTGTAAAACCGGAGCCGAGTACTTGAATAGAAATCCTTGAATTAGTGTTTGAGTTCCTTTTTCCTTTGGTACCACCTCTGGCACAGATTTCTAAAGTAACATGACCTACAACCGGCCTCAAAAGGCTTTCTTTGACCTCTGACAGAGCAGGATGAATGACCTGTTGGAGGACGGCCTTCCCAGAGAGGGTCTGTCTGGCTATCAGGCTGGAATCTGCTAATGTTTATTCTTTAAGGGGTGTGTCAGGATGAGAGTGTTGGGCTCAGAGAAAGGGAGGTCCACCCTGCCTCACGGCCAAAGCTGGATGTCAAGTGTAGATAGGCTGCAGAACAATACGGCAGCAACACCGAGTCTAATGAAAAATGTCCTCCTGTCTGCAGCTGCAGCGTGAGCGGCTCGAATACTCTACGTTTCCATTGTGTATTTCTTTCCAGACTTACCGCAAGCTCCACAAAAAAACTCTTTAATGCACATAATGCATTTTATCAGCAGAGACTCTCACTTCATACCACTATTTTTACTTTATAGTGAGGGAGGGTGTTCCCTTGATTATGGTTATATAGCGAACAATAACTGGAGTTAAGTTTCCCTCTGTGTGCTCTAAGCCTCAAACAGCATGTCCACCGCAGAGAGAGCCTTAGGTTTTCAATTACACCCTCAAAGTGGTCCCCGGTCGCTCCCCCGTCACAGGTGCTGGGATGTGTGCGGAGGGGCAAAAACCTGGTGTTCCATTTAGGAAATATGTGGGAAAATCTCACTCTGAGCCCTATTTGTTTGGAGTGTTTTATGGTCGCAGATGTAACTCCTACTGCGCCAGCGTCACTCCCAAATAACAATGTCTCTGCTCGGCCTGGAACCACTAATTACAGCAGCGAGGCCCCGCATCAAAAAGAGGGACTAATTAGCACATAGCATCACCAGAGAATACAGTCGGCTGTCATTATGCTGAACTTCACACATTATATTGTAAATATAGAACTCTGTGCTGAGCTTGGTGCTAATTTTCAAGATGTTTAGGCAACAGATTAGCTCTTATTTTGAAAAGGTCTCAGTTCTCTGAATCCTTCATGACTGTCGAGCTCCAGCTGGATGTCACAAAAATGCCTCTGTTTCTAAACTAAGATCCTTGTAATCAACTCATATTTGTGATGGACCAAAGGAGGGGACTGTAATTCTCTACTAATTTCATGTCAGGATATATAAAGTATGATAAAAGTATAACGCAGTCTTCATGGATGAGTCTGCAGCCCTGAATTGAGACCCAGTGTTTGGGCTGGTGCGATAGACTTGACCCCATCTGTTGGTGCTGATTTTTTCTGTCTCAGTTCTGTGTCTTAAAGGGAGACACAGAACTCGGTGCACTCGGTGATCGGCTCGTCAGGGCTCCCCCCACAAATAAGCGGCTGCTGGAGGAGAGTGGGTAAGTTGTTTTTGGTCACTTTAGGCAAAGCTGAAAAGATGTTTGATGGCTAGTACTGAGGTGCTGTTCTGAGCATTATTTGTGGCCATAGAGTGGCGTTTTGGTTCTGGTTTGCACGTATTGCGTATCGTGCGGTTGTTACTAAAGTTAGTTTAACTGGAGAAGCAAGAAATCGGCAACATTCATCTCTCGAGGGGGTGTCTAACTTGGTGTCATGGCATGTTTGACCCTAAATTTATTTTACGCTGGAATATCCCTTTAATAGAGACTAAGCTGACCAGGACCCTTGGGAAGTAAAACACAAACTGTTGACAAGTATCTCAGACACCCCACTTCAAAAACACCAAACTATCCCTTTAAAAAAAAGTCCAGTTTGTTTTTTTGTACCAGGCTGTAAAAGTTTCTGTTTCTTCAAATGGGGCCTAATAGGGTTTGACCTGCTTTTGGGGATCAGCCTCAAGTGGCCACAAGAGGAACTGCAGTTTTTAACACTTGGGTGTCAGTCCTGGAGGTTGCTGCTTTGGTTGGCATTTGCCAGGGTGGCCTCATATTACGTTGGGGGGTCTTGAGGTACACGTTATTATGATCCCACCCACCCACCCCTCTTTTTCTCCCCCACACTCATCTGTATTACACGTGTTTTTGGAAGCCACCAAAGTAGAACACAAACTTCCCCCTTTCAGGAGAACAAGAGAGAAAAATAGTGAAAGACAAAGAGAGAGTCTGGACTCTAAACCAGATAACCACTGTGCTCCAGCGGAGGACTCAGAGGGGGAAGCCCACACAGCAGGAACAACAGTCCAGGACAGCGTGGTGGGAAAACATCCACAGATTGATTTTCATCAGTTATAGCACAAACCCAGGGAAAAAAAGAAAAACACTGACATGCATATCATGCTCAAATCTGGCTGCCTTCCTTTGTGATATGTCATGTGTAAAGCTATATCCTGTGGTTCTGCTTGGTGGTCAGGCAGGGAGTCTGCAGGGGCCCCAAATCCCTCACCAGGACTTGGCAGCAAAATGCAAGCTTTAC